ACCACTGGGAGCACTGGGAGCCCACTGGGAGACTCCTGGGGGGGTCCCTGGGGGGTTTTTGGGGGTGTCAGGGCAGCACCCCGCTGCTGGAGGCCATGGCCACGGTAACTGGGAGCACTGGGAGACCACTGGGAGCCCACTGGGAGACTCCTGGGGGGGTCCCTGTGGGGCTTTTGGGGGTGTCAGGGCAGCACCCCACTGCTGGAAACCGTGGCCATGGTAACTGGGAGCACTGGGACCACTGGGAGACCACTGGGAGACCACTGGGAGACTCTTGGGGGGATCCCAAGGGGTTTTTGGGGGTGTCAGGGCAGCACCCCGCTGCTGGAGGCCATGGCCATGGTAACTGGGAGCACTGGGAGCACTGGGAGCACTGGGAGCACTGGGACCACCGGGAGCACTGGGAGACCACCGGGAGCACTGGGAGACCACCGGGAGCACTGGGAGCCCACTGGGAGACTCCTGGGGGGGGGTTTTGGGGGGGTCCCTCAAATCCTTGGGGGGCTCTTGGGAAGGGTTTTCAGAGAGTTTTGGGGCTTTATTGGTATTTTTCTTGTTTTTTGGGGTGGCTTTTGGGGGGTTAGAGCAGCACCCCGCAGCTGGAGGCCGTGGCCGCGGTAACTGGGAGCACTGGGAGACCACTGGGAGCCCACTGGGAGAGTCCTGGGGGGGATTTGGGGGGTCCCTAAAACCCCTGGGTGGCTCTTGGGAAAGGTTTTTAGGGATTTGGGGGTATTTTCTTGGTTTTTGGGGCGTTTTGGGGTGGTTTTTGGGGTTCAGGGGTGTTTTTGGGGGTGGTTTTGGGAGTTTTTTGGAGGTTTTTTCTCTGTTTTTGGGGTGGTTTGGGTGGTTTTTGGGGTGGTTTGGGGTGGTTTTGTTTGCTTTTTGGTTCAGAGGTATTTTTGGGGAGGGGGTTATGACAGCAGCCCGCTGCTGGAGGCCGTGCTGGTGGTAACTGGGAGCACTGGGAGGGGTCCCTGTTTTGGGGAGGGGTCCCTGTTTTGGGAGGGGTCCCTGTTTTGGGAGGGGTCCCTGTTTTGGGGAGGGGTCCCTGAGCCTGTCCCACCCCCCAGAATTCGCTGCTGGGCTGTGAGTTCCTGCTGCAGAACGGGGCCAGCGTCAACCAGAGCGACGGGCGGGGACAGGGCCCGCTGCACCTGGCCACCGAGCTGGGCCACACCGGGTGCGACTGGGAGCACTGGGAGCACTGGGAGCACTGGGAATGGGCACTGGGAGCACTGGGAATGGGGATTGGGAGCACTGGGAATGGGCACTGGGAGCACTGGGAGCACTGGGAGCACTGGGAATGGGCACTGGGGGCACTGGGAATGGGGATTGGGAGCACTGGGAATGGGCACTGGGAGCACTGGGAGCACTGGGAATGGGCACTGGGGGCACTGGGAGCACTGGGATGGACTGGGAGCACTGGGAGCATGGGGCCCGCTGCACCTGGCCACCGAGCTGGGCCACACC